GCAAGTGCTCTATCACTAAGATACAGCCCTGGCCTCTTCTCTTTAAACTCTATTTTGAGACATGGTCTCAATATGTAGCCTGGACTGTCTGAAACTCTCAATCCTCCTGTTTGCCTCTCCAGTGCTGGGATTACAGGAATGCACTATGACGTTTGGTTGAGAGACTTTTCTGTTTGGTCTGCAGTGCTGAGGACCAAACCCAGGCCTTGAACATGCTAGGCAAGTGCTCCATACACTGAACTACACGCTCTTGGATTAGAAACTGGTATTTTTTTTTTAAATTAGTTTTTTAAAAATTTATAATCTTCCCTCACCTGCCCTTTAGGGCAGTTTGGACTTACAACACTGAATGGAAGGCACACAGGTTTTTCCTATTACCCATGTCCTCATATATGCATACCATCTCCATTATGAACTTACCTTGTTTACCCACAGCAATCATGTCCACATAGGCCCTATCTTGCTCCAATCCTATAGGTCTATCAAGAGACTGCTGGTTTCAGCCACACACATGCAGGGATGGCCAGAGTCGTCTTTCTTACACCCTCTCTATATGCTCATGTGTTCGCACCATGATCTATGTGTCAAAACACTCCAGAGAAACTGGGAAGGTACCAATTTTATTTTCCTCCCCCACTGTGTGTGAGCCATCCTATCTATCCCCCTTTCTTCCTTTGGACCATTGACTCTGAACAGTTTATTGACTTTTATTTTGGAGTGAGGATGACTAAGAGGACCTTGGGTAATGGACAATGGTGTGATGTTTCCATGCTCTATTCTGGTTGTGAACATAGTTTAATAAGAATATTTAGTAGTGGTGGTAAGATGTATCGATGAATTATCTGTAATCTCCCTTGGTGAGTCTAAGGAGGTGACTCACTCCTCTCCCAGTTCTCTGAGTCAAGGACAATACCTTTCAAAAGTGTCTCAGGCTCTCACCATCAAAGGCAGCTGCTCATGGGAAGGATACTGAGGCAGAGTCCAGCACATGTCCCTTTCAGCAAGTACATTCTCCACACTCTTCTCTTGTACCTGGCAGTACCAGGTGACGGTTGGGAGCACCGGCCTTGGGGCTAAGCTATGAATATGAATTCTTTTATGGCTTCTTTGTGGGGTCTATGACTTGTAACAAGTCATTGCTCTATGCCTTTATAATTCCATCTTTAAAATGGTGGAAATAACGTCAGCAGCCTTGCAGAGGTGTTCCAAAATGAAAGGAGCTACAATGATAGAACTTAATTCTTAGGAAGACTGGATAAAAGCCATAGAAATTTCTCTAACTCATCAGAACTTAACCTTTTCCTTTATTCTGTTACACTTACCTCTGTAAGGCCAACCTCCTCATCTTCAAATGCCAGCTTAAAGTCCCCATTTTTTATTTTTAATTATTGTATTTTATTTTATATGTATGGCCATTTTACCTTCATATGTATCTCTGGATGCTCTGGAATTGGAGTTACAGGTTGTGAATTAGCATGTGAGTACTGGGAATTAAACCTGGGTCCTCTGGAGGAATAGATGGTGCTCTTAACCACAAAACCATCTCTTCATCTCTCTTTTCATTGTTTATCCTATTTGTCCTCAGGGTAGATTCTGTTGAACTCCTAGATGTTCCTTTTTGGCTTGTAAAACCATGTATTTTTCTGGCTCTTTTCTATTTTCTGACCATTTCTTCTGTTCCTTCCCTTTGCTTCCTTTCCAAGGCACACATTTAAATGTTGTGGTCTTTCAGGGTTCTGTAGTCTGGCTTACTGTTTTATTTCTCTGCAACTTTCTTAGATGAACTCTTCCTTCCCATGCACTGGGAGTCTTTCCCCCACAACTATTACTTCAACTCTTTCAAAATCTAAAACAATGCATACAAGAGATAAGTTTTAACTGCTTTAGGTCACAGCCTCTTAGAAAGAAAATTTTATTGACTGTTCCCGGGAACTTTTAAGACACAGATCGAAAAAAGATCTTTTCATAGAGGTTAAAGTCCTAATGTTATATCTTCCCCCAACACTGCCTATTAATCTATGTCACCACAATAACCCACATCCCACAATGCTTAAAAGAGAAGAGATGGGGAGAAGACTCTGGGTGCTTATCTCCTTCTTGGGATCCATGGTTCCTTTCAGTTTGATTTTTGGAAGATTTTCTTGACTTCATGAACTTTCATTGACTTTAAAACATTGATGTGGACATTCTCAGAGACCCTTTCTTACTTTCAAATTGTTCACCTTTTAAGTATTGCCTTGCTTTATAGTTTTGATGTTATATTTGAGTCTATTGGTTTTTGGATTGGTTTCCTGAGTTGTTTTCGTACATTGCCTCTGTTTTCTGCAAGCCTCCGAGTGCTCGTCTTGCTTTCATTGTGCAGAAAGTCTTCTAAGCTATCTGGTGATCTTGCACACAACACTGTCTCTCTGTCTCTTTATATTTAGGAACTGGGCTCTGGAAATCTGAAAGGGTTCCATGTTGTGTGTATGAAGTTGTCATGCACACTGTCAGGCCTCACTGAAATGATTCCAGGGTGGCTTTTCATCAGGAAAAGCAAAAATGTCAACATCTGGAAGCCTTCTTTCTGCTTTTCTCTTTGGAAGCATCTTCTCACACCCTCTAGTACTAGGTTGTGGGGATATTGGGAAGTGGTAGGCAGGTTGTGCACAAATCTGATTGTCCTAGAAATAGGTAGAAAGGGCTGAGCTCCGTGTTTCATCGATAACCCTCTCCTGTGTCTTTTGAGTCAGTGTCTGTAGGAATAAATTATTCTTCTTATGGGGTGGAGACAAGGCTATGGACACAGGTGTCATGGGCCTCCCTGCCATCTTTCTGTGCACCATATTCCTTATACCATGAGCTCTTTTGCACACCCTATTCTTAGTATGTATGCTCCAACAAGTCACATTCCACCTGGGCTCTCTTGTATTGCTCTGAGTCAGTGACCCTTTGATGTGTTTTTCATCTTCCAAAATGTGGTTTAAATGTTTTGTTTATTCTCTTCTCTGCCTTTTAGTGCACTAATATTTCTTCAGTTCTTTTGTGTTAAAGTAATACTTTGGGCAGTGATTAATACCAGGACTTAGTGTTCCTCATTTTACTGCAAGTCACTACGAAAGTTTTCCCATTGAGTTTCTGAGGAAAATGTTTTTAGGACCACACTCCTTTTTGCAAGACAGGTGATTACTCTGGGCATTTGGGCAACCACTTATTGCCACTTTTGCACACGGTCTCTAGACACCATCAGCCATTTGTCACGGGTTGGAATAAGCCTGCCTGTGCTGACGGAGTAGAATCCAGGGTCCGCCGTTTGCATTTACCAGTCTTCCATTTAGTTCTGCCTCATTGGTGCTTCACCTCGCTGTTTGATGGGAAATATTCTCTCCATAAACTTCAGTAAGATGTAATGGATTTGTGCAGTGGAAATATTGTTCAAGCCGCAAAACCAAATCACAGCAGGCACTTTGTCTGGGGACCCTGTGTCTAGCAAAGCAGCCATTTAAAACACGAGTTGTAGGAAGCCACAAGCAGTCACAGCTAATTCCCTTTACAAGGCTTTTATTTGTATGCATGGGAGAAATGCACCACCAAACACAATCATTGCTCTGCTAAGACTGCAGCATTAATTATCTCTGTCAACGTGTGCTCTTGAGTCGCCTTACTCACTGGGTTTTGTCTTAGGGTTAGCAAATGAGGAGAAAGGAGTGGGTGAAGATGTAGCTGGTATGCTTTGTAGGCATCGAGACAATGTGGATGTTTCAAGAGTGGGACAGCCACCCCAGCTACCACCAATTACTAGTTACGAATTACTATCACTTGTAAAACATGGTTTAGGTGAGGCTCAGGGCAACACTGTGAATGAAGGAAGGTTATGACCAAGTCTAGTAGAAGCAATATGATATACTTCTGGAAATTTGATGGCAATGCTGAAGGCCATGGGACCTCTAATTTCCTAATCATAGGTTCTGAGTCATGGATGGTCACAAAAAACAAAACAAAACAAAACAAAACAAAACAAAACAAAAAAAAAACACACACACACAAGGAGATCATTTAGAATCTTAATTCTTATATACACCCCAGACTGTTTCTGGGGTGAAAGTCTGTACATGCATGTGCATCTCTCTCTCTCTCTCTCTGTCTGTCTGTCTGTCTGTCTGTCTGTCTGTCTGTCTGTCTGTCTGTCTCTCTCTCTCTGTACATCTGTGAGCATGTGTATGTAGGTGAGATGTTGACATTGGGTTCTTTCTCAGTTACTTTCTAACTTGATTTCTTTAGATGTGCTTTTTTTTGTTTGTTTGTTTTGTTTTTCAAGACAGTATTTCTTTGTGTAGCTCGTAGACCAGGCTGGCCTCGAAGTCACATAGATCTGCCTGGCTCTGCCTCCCAAGTGCTGAGATTAAAGGCATGCAGCACCATCTTCTAGACATGGTTTCTTACTATAGCTATAGATGGCCAGTAAGTGCTAGGCATCCTCTTTGCCCTTCCTATCCAAAACTAGAACCACAGTGTGTATCTCTATACCTGATGTTTTATGTGGGTACTGGGGACACAACTCAGATTCTCATGCTTGCGAGGCAAGGATCTCACCACCTGAGGCTCTCCCCAGCTCATCACCAGTCATTTTTAGTGCTCCAAGTAGAGGAATGACAAAGAGGAATAACTACTTCTAGGTTCTCTTTTTAAGTCTTGTCACTGCTGCATAAACAAAGAAACTTGAGTTTATTGTTCTGAGCTAATTTGGGCTTAGGGAGAAATTAATAATGATTCATGTAGTGGTTATTTCAATTCTTTTTTATTTTGGAACAATTTCTATGGTTGAGAGTCAGTTCTTTTAAGGGAAGAGAATTTGGCTGGAGTTGTGTAACATCAGAATTCAGGGAATTCGGGCAATAGTTATCAAAGGGACTGGACTCTTCTGGAAAATGTGGTGGTAAAGCAGTGAAGGGTCTGTGGGCAGGGCTGGTACTGAGTGCATGTGACCTCACTGGGTCTTGTGTCTCTCATGGTTTGTGCAGGTCCTGTGGCTGTCATCAGTGGAGAAGAGGACTCAGCCAGCCCACTGCACCACATCAACCATGGCATCACCACACCTTCCTCTCTGGATGCTGGGCCTGACACAGTGGTCATCGGCATGACCCGCATTCCAGTCATTGAGAACCCCCAGTACTTCCGTCAGGGACACAATTGCCACAAACCAGACACATGTAAGTAACAGGATTGGATGCTGTCCCTTTCTTTTGAAGGGGGTGGTATGGAAGCAAATCATGTCACTGGGGTTCTGGAACCTTCTAGGGTAACCTCCCACTTTCTAAGAGACCCTCCCTTTTGTCTTTAAGCACAGAAATAACCTGGGCAAGGAGATGCCAGTGAACAGAGTCTCCGAGGAAGGGAGGGCCACAGGTCAAAGTTTAGCTCCTTCTTTTATTCATCTAGTCAGCATAGCTCTGAGTATGGAGAGGTGCTCCTGTAGGGCAGGGCACACAAAAGAGGCTGGTCTCCTCTGAAGACCCAGCCTAACTGCTGGAACACAGGGCTTGGCTCTGTTGGCACAGCAGTCTCTGCTCTGAGATCATCAGAGACCTTCTTGGGAGGGAGAGGGAGTGAAGGGCAGTGACTACATTTGAACAGAAATGTCTCTCTAGCTGCCCAGTCCAGCCCCCAAATATGTACTCCCTGGAAATATTCCAGCTTAAGCTCTAGGAGCCCCACCCCCAAATCCCTATTTCCTCCATGCCCCTCACCTCCAATTGGTTGCAGCCACTCTCTCTGTATTTCTTCCCATCTCTGCTAGGTTGCCTCTCAGCTCCTGAAAGCTGGGGTGGCTGGTCCCTCCAGCCAACAATATACCCCTTCCTGCATCCTCAGGCTCAGAGGGCCCTGTGATAGGAATGCACAGCGTCTCCCCTTCACACTGCTCCTGCCTCATAGGGAATAATGCACTGCTCAAGAGAGTTCAGAGATGCCACTAGGGATCAGGGACACCAAGAAGGGGTCAAAGCAACCTGCTAGGGAGAGGCCTCACCATTCAGACAGAATAGCAAAGTTTGTGAGTGCCCCAATACTAGCGCCCAGAATTCCCACCAGTTTTTTTTTTTTTTTTTTTTTTTTTTTTTTCATGTCTCAGTCCATTTGGGTTAGGCCTAGGAAAAGGTATTTTCTGGTCTTGTTCATCCCCTGCTCATCTCTGTCCTTGGGTCATACTCTTCAAAGCTCATAACTCTTGCTGCTCCTGCTGGGACTTCCAGCAGCAGAGTAGGTCTTGGGTCATCCCATCAGCCTTTGCTTCCATTTCTCTGGCTCTGAGATTATTTAGTGAGCATTACCATGGTAAGAAGGGTTGGGTTTGTGTCAGCTGAGACCATCATTTGCCTCTGTATCTGGAATCTGCACCAGTGGTTTTCAGAGGCTTCCTGTGAGGGTCATACAAAGGATAACTTGGTTCTAGATCAAGGTTGGCCATAGGGAAACGATAAGATTTCAGATATACAGTGTGAAATTGTTCAAAGAACAGCCCAGTTGCCAAGTGCTTGTCTGAGGTCAGGCTTGTCCCCTGGCTGGGGGTAGCCAGGAAGGACACTCTTCTGAGGTGTTCTTTGGCCATTGTTATTGTTTAAGGTAGTTCTTTTTCAGAAAGTCCCTGTGGATGGTGAATTAGAAAACCTTGAACCCTTGCTCCTAGAGAAAATGCAGTGTTAGGTTTATTTGAACCTCCCTGCTTGCAATATTTTGTCAGCTAACTTGTATATAACCTTTCATACTATGTGTAATTTTATTCACAAATAGCTTGGTTAACATATATGACCGACTCATTCACATGTGACTTAACTAACAGCTGCTCAACATCCATCTTGTACACTTTCTTCTCTATAAGACACACGGCTAACATCTCGTGTTTGGAATCATAGGATGACATTTCAGAGCTATGCTTAAAAGCCATTTTAGAGCAAAATTACCAACAAAAAGCACCAAATGTAAAAAAAAAAAAAGTTTAAAATAGACCACTCAAAGAGTGTACTTGTTTATGGTATGAAAGTTGGAACAACAATTTTAAATATGCTGCATGTGATAAATATAAACATTTTCACCTCCCAGTTGAAAGTGTAGATACTTATCTAAGCAAAGATATACAAGTATTGCCATGCACAGTCTCTACTGGAAATGTTGATGCAGAGGCACTGGCTTCTGGAGTCCAAATAAGCTTTAATGACAAGGCAAATTCCCAAGTGTAGAATCTTGACTGCTGAGCAACACTGCATGCTCTTAGCAGATGCCATTGGCTGTTGGTACAGTTTCTGATCCTAGGGTCCTATTGTGTTCACTGAAGCTTTGGGTACCATGCCATCTGCACCAACTGCAAGACAAGGGTGAATATGTCATGTGGGAGGAAGGGAAGTTTCTTCTGAGACACCAGGATCTTTGTTTCTTGGGAACTCAGGAGCTGTGGAGAAAGCTCCAGGACTAGATACATGTCCTCAGATGTCAGAGAAAATCTTGCAGCCAAGGAGCCATCATACCAGGAAAACCTGAAACATGCAGAGTCTTCCTTCTGGAACTTGTTCTGGTGTGTGAGCCAGCATAGCCATCTAGGGAGCCAGGCTGCTTCTGTGTAAGCAAGTAGAGGTTAGTGGGGATTCTAGGTTTATTGGCAAAGACTTGAAGTTGGAGGAGAGCAAACAAAGCTGTATCACAAGAAGGTCATAGGTTGACTCCAACTGTCTAAGCCCTTTGACAGTAGGAAAAGTATCTTTTTCATGCAGCAGTCCATTTTGCCCTATCAATAGACAGTGAGTTATGAATTATTTTAAGAAGACACATGTGGCACAATAAGTAATTTGCAGAAGCATTTTAACTGTATTTGGCTAATTCTCCTGTGACTCACATGAGCAGGGACAGGAAGGCTGAGGGGCAGTGGGGTCTCTCATTCCCAAAGTTTCATCAGTCCAGGGAGCTAATCTATGACATAGCACCATGTACAATGAGATGCCACTGTAATAGTTAAAACCACATGTGCTTTGGCACATTAATAGACAGGAGCATCTGCAGTGCTGTGTGTAAGGTTGGGGTCACTCCTTTGGAAGGACAGCAAGAAGCAGGGAATTAAGAGAACAAATTATTCATATGGAGGATCCCAGGGTATCCTCAACTCAGTTCCCTCCCTTGTCCCATTTTAGCATGTGTCACTTGGGAAGAAATTGTAGGGACTTTAGCGCTTCCTAAAGCTACAGGCACCACTCTCCAGCCTCTCTAGCAATGGGTTAAGTGTGGAGTACTTCCCTCCCCCTTTATTCTTGTTTTTACCATGAGTCATGGGACCTTTCTGACTGGAGTGATTAGGATGCTGCTTGACTCCTTGCTTCTCACTTACTATCTGTCTTCAATCTGGTCCACAGCATTTTTCATCACATGTCAGGCTGCAAGGATATTTAAAGATCACCTGGTTCCAACCCCTTATCAGATGCTTGCATCCCCTCGCTTATGTCCCAGCAAATGCTCTGCATTTGACATTGTCTTCATTCTGAATTGATTCAGCCTTTCCAGGAATTCTGAAAGACCTGAAAAAAGATGCACCTACTTGGCCCTATGTACCCAGCCTGAGCCCAATAAGCTTCCTGTTGTTTGTGTAAACGTTTCCTGATTCTCAAAAGTACTAGAAAATGGATATGGCCCACCTTATACACAGCTGAGGGTCTTGGACAAGGCTTGGAAATCTCTCTTTTTCTTAGCATCTATGCACTATGCTGCAAAGACTTTAGCTTCTCCATCAAATACACATATAGGAGGGGGTTGGTCAGGCATTCTTCTAGACTTTTGAAAAATGGAGTGAGGAGACATGTATTGCTTTTATCCTCTCAGATCGATTGCCAACTAACTATAGCTAGTTCCTAAGACTCCCTGCTTCCTAGAACCCTTCCTTCCCAACACAGCACCTTATACATTCTGCTTTGCCTTTCCAGCCTATATCCTTTTTTTTTTATTTGATAACATTTCATTTGATGGTAATCATTGTTGACTAATTGCTAACATAGTGTAATACCTGTTTTGAAATAACATACTGCCTCTCGGTATTGCATTGCCCCATGCCATTTTCTTCCTCAGTCTACTATGTTATAATGGCATTTCAATTCCAGCCTCTTGTGAATCCCTCCCAGACTCACACTATCTCAACATGACTTTTCCTTCCTTCCTTCCTTCCTTCCTTCCTTCCTTCCTTCCTTCCTTCTTTCCTTCCTTCCTTCCTTCCTTCTAATTTACAGCTTTGTAGGCAACACCATGTACTAGTCTTGAATGACTATAAGCCAGATTCTAAGTCACCCTGTTACCTCTCAGATGAATGTGTACTGTTTCCCAATCATGAATTTACATTTTATCTAGTTGTAGCACTTCTAATTGTCCAATTCCGTGTCATTTCTCAGACCCCACTCACGTTCATTGAAACAGGGTCTCCCTGTGACCTGAAATGGGCCAAATTCAGCTAAGCTGACTGTCCAGTGGGCACTGGGAACCCTTATCTCCACCTTATCAGCACTGACATTTAATTCTTTAGTTTTTACTGAACACATAGCGTATTACTAAGGTCAAAAAAGACACTAAATTGCATTATTTAGATGGTGCTTTATTTTGGTTCCTGAGTGTTCCCCAAGGCCCATGTGTTGGAGACTTAGTGTTCAGGGAGGCCCTCATGGGAGGTGATAGAAACATTAAGAAACAGAGTCTAGTGGAAGTTCTAGGATATTGGAATATGGCCTCATGGCCTCAAAAGGCATTGGATGACAGTCTTCCCTCACTTCCTTTTCCTACCTGGGCACAAGGTGAGTGATTTTGGCTCCAACATATGCTTTCTACTGTTGTCACCAAAAACCTTGCCAGAGCCCTAACATCAGTAGATCCAATTTATCACAGAGTAGGACCATTTCTCTATATAAGTTGATGATTTTAAGTGTTTGTTATAGTCATGGAAAATTGATTAATATGGATGGCTCATGGCCTAAGCTCTTTAGCAAGGTTGCTCATCTATTACTTCAGCATTTCTGGACAAAACACTGAGCTTTATTCATTAAATCAATTACCTAGAATTCTAGGTACCCTACAGTCCCCCCCACCCACATACCTCTTGAACTTAGGGAGACAGCTTGTTGAGGAGTACAGATAGTTTCTGTGTTGGGTGTTTAAGGTTGACCAAGTTTTTTTATAGTCACAAGGCAGG